ATACTACTGTAATTTTATACTCATTACCAGTTCTTATAATCTTACTGGTTTGTGTATAAAAGTTAGCACTGTATCATAGCTGCTGAACTGATGCAATAAATCAAGTTTCTAAATTGAGTCTTTCCAAAAATACAATAATATTGAATCTGCCATGAATAGTCATACTACAGTTTTTTGCCTCTGCTAAATACTACAAAAATATAGCTATTATATTCTATAACAAAGCATAACAAACAGAGCACACAAACATCATGGCTTAAAAATATGTATTGTCCATCCAAAAACTCTTGCCAAAAGAAGCAGATACCTACTATGGTGTAATGGGAAACAAAACAAAGTTTAAAATCCTCAAAACATAAGTGGTTGATTCATGTCATACATAATCTTCCCTGTGTATATGCACAAGACAAGAGAAAAACACTGTACAAAAGCTTTATAACTAAACATACTGTAATCACTAATGTCAACTGAAGGATATTTCTGAGCTTAACATTATGACTTACTAATGCTGTACTAATACAGTGAAGTACAATACCACAAATCTAAACTTTAGAAACTTGGGAACTTCCACAATTACGCAAACATATTTTTATTAGGCCCCATGAAATGAAATTAAGAAAGCTTTGAAATCCAAGGAAGTTTCTGAGACTTGCAATGTTCTTAATACTATTTTTCTGTCTCTGACAATCTGTTGGAGTGTGAGCAGGGTAATATTTAGTGAAGGGATTCAGGGAAACCGGTTATTTTCATGTAGTCGGACTTGAGTCCTGGAAATGGGAAGTACAATGCCTGCACTTTAAAGGAGGGGTTTGGGATATTGGCAGTTTGGAGGGATATGTTGTGTATCTTTATATGTGTATGCTTCTAGACTGTTGTATTCTGAGCACCTCTGCAAAAACAGTGATAATGTGCAAGTGTGGTGAAAGTGTTGAATGATGATGAAAGTATTTTCTTTCTTTTTTGGGTCACCCTGCCTCGGTGGGAGACGGCCGACTTGTTGAAAAAAAAAAAAAAAAAAAAAAAAAAAAAAAATTTGCAATCAAACCTAAGCGCTAAACCTACAAGGGTAATACAGCGTTGTTTTTGATTATATGCTCTTATTTTCATGCACACATGTGGTGTCTTAAAAGAGTTTTGGTTAAAATCAGGCTATGTTTTTATGGTTCTTTTGGAAATTAGGAAAGAGAATCAAAATTTACTTTTTCTTTTTCCATCAAATTTGCTGATTTTTATACTTTTGGATATAACTGTTTTGCTTGGTGCATATTGGGCTATACAATAATATTTTATATCTGACGATAAATATGGGTATGTTTCTCTCTATTTTGGAAATGGAATTAATGAATTTCCTCCCTTTCACTTTCAATTTATGTCCACTGTGCCAATACTATGGTTGTTACCATGACTGATCAAGAAATGCCTAAAGCACTGCAAGAAGAAATTACTACAGTATTATATTCAAGGGAAAGCACTAAATACGAAAAGGTAAATAGCACTCAGGGTAGTGGAGGGATGAGGATAATCAATCTGAACCAAGGAAGGAAGGGTAGCTCCAATTCCTTTAATCAAGAGCCCTTCACCAGCATCAAGGTCCTCCTCTACCCTTTCCCCCACTTCAAAGGGTTTCTGAGAGAAGGTGGGTGTGAGAGGATGATTAACTGAATGAAATGTGATTTGTAAAAGACCGAACTTAGCCTGTACCTTTAATGATGCTGATGAAAAGCTCTTGATCCAAGGAATCATATACCTATCCCTTAGATCAAACCTCATAATCTCCCCATCATTACCCAAATGGGTTTAATACTTGCCTATCAATAACATTGTAATTACTATTATTATATTCATGGGACAAATGCAAAGCCCATTCTTATTATTATATTCAAACTGAGCACTAAACCCAAAAATATAATTATAATCAAAACCAAGTGCTAAACCTACTAGGGTTGCTGAACCCAAAAGGGTCAATGCCAAGCCCTTTGGGTTTTGCATTGTGCCTAGGAAAGGGTTCAATGGAAGGGAGATGAAATCCAGTTCCTTGGATCAAGAGCTTCTCACCAACATCAAGGAACCTCCCATGAGGGAAGATAATACTGTAATTAACTAAGATTGTAACAAGAATAGCAAAGAATTATTTAAGAAGACTGTACAGATCCAATTATTTTACTGAATTCAAAGTTCAAGTTATTTTTTTCTATCAAGAGCACTGAAACTTTGTATGTATCCTTCAAGGAGGGAGTGATGGAGTGCCTAGATGCTAGTGAAAGGCTTCTGATCCAAGGAGCTGTAGTTGTTCTTCCATTTCTTAGATCAAACCTGATTACCTACCATTCCTCAGGTGCTGTTTCACCTCACATGAGTTTAGCACTTCCATGAATATAATAACAGTAATAAAAATAGTACGTAATAGTAATAATAATAATAATAATAATAATAATAATAATAATTATAATAATTAATAATAATAGATGAATGGAGCAAGGGGCTAGTAACTCCTTCTTCTGTATATATTACTAAATGTAAAAGGAGAAACTTTCGTTTTTCCTTTTGGGTCACCCCACCTCGGTGGGATATGGTTGGTGTGTCGAAAGAAAGAACATTTGAATTTCTAAACATTCACTTAAATCATGCATGTTACTTTAATGTTTTTGGCAAAAATCAGTCAATTTTTTTTTTAAATGTTTGAAGTTGTTGGTAATTGGCATGGAATGATCTATTTTATTTTTTATCTGTTGATATCAGATGCTATGATTTTTGCGTAGAATCCAAATCTATGATAAGATATATACAGGTCTCCCTCAACATTCGCGAGGGTTAGGGGATCAAGAGCCTCACGAATGTTGAAAAACCGTGAATGTTTGGTGCCCCAATATATTGTAGGGAAATATATTACAATACTGCTTCCTTAACTTGTTGAACCATGAATAATCATAAAATACATGAAAACGTCGTAAATTGTACTAAATATATACATGTTATGCTTTAATAACGTATGTTATTTAATAACATGTATGTTATTTAATAACATGTATGTTAATAACATGTATGTTATTAAATACCACAGACTCCATCACTGCCTCCACCACTGCGAGTCCCTACTACCCTCCCTCCGACCCTCAGTGTGGTGAGTGTTTTGTTTGTTCATTATTTGCTATTAAACTACAGAATAAATAATGTAAACCCATTTTAGACTGCATATTGGAATGGCTATTAGGAAAGGTATTAGACGGTGACATCATGTGTTTACTCTTGAACACAGCAAAGAATCGAACATTTCTGCTATTGCTAATAATAACAATAGTAATAATAATAAAAATAATAAATACGATATAATTGAAGAAGGAAATTGTACAAAAATACGAGGGAGTGGTTGACACATCGTCAGTGTGACTTTGTTTATGCTGGAGTGAACATTAGTCTCCCTGCTCTTCCAAACATTTCACAATAATTCAGCGGTTGAGGCAGTGGTATTTAATAACATACATGTTAGGTGATGAAAGATTGAATATCAGATTGGAGGGAGAGAGTATGGAGGAGGTGAACGTATTCAGATATTTGGGAGTGGACGTGTCAGCGGATGGGTCTATGAAAGATGAGGTGAATCATAGAATTGATGAGGGAAAAAGAGTGAGTGGTGCACTTAGGAGTCTGTGGAGACAAAGAACTTTGTCCTTGGAGGCAAAGAGGGAAATGTATGAGAGTATAGTTTTACCAACGCTCTTATATGGGTGTGAAGCGTGGGTGATGAATGTTGCAGCGAGGAGAAGGCTGGAGGCAGTGGAGATGTCATGTCTGAGGGCAATGTGTGGTGTGAATATAATGCAGAGAATTCGTAGTTTGGAATTTAGGAGGAGGTGCGGGATTAAACCCAAAAATGTTGTCCAGAGGGCTGAGGAAGGGTTTGTTGAGGTGGTTTGGACATTTGAGAGAATGGAGCGAAAAAAGAATGACTTCAAGAGTGTATCAGTCTGTAGTGGAAGGAAGGTGGGGTAGGGGTCGGCCTAGGAAAGGTTGGAGGAGGGGGTAAAGGAGGTTTTTGTGCGAGGGGCTTGGACTTCCAGCAGGCATGCATTTAGTGTGTTTGATAGGAGGGGAATGGAGACAAATGGTTTTTAATACTTGACGTGCTGTTGGGAGTTGAGCAAAGTAACATTTATGAAGGGGTTCAGGGAAACCGGCAGGCCGGACTTGAGTCCTGGAGATGGAAGTACAGTGCCTGCACTCTAAAAAGGGGGGGTGTTAATGTTGCAGTTTAAAAAAATGTAGTGTAAAGCACCCCTTTTGGCAAGACAGTGATGGAGTGAATGATGGTGAAAGTTTTTCCTTTTTCGGGCCAACCCCGCCTTGGTGGGAATCGGCCAGGTGATTTAAAAATAATAATATGTTATAAATAATAATAGTACATGTTATATTAAAACATGTATTATTATTAACATGGATGTATTTAATAACATATATGTTATAAATAATAATAGTAACATATTATTAATAAATGTATTATTATTAACATGTATGTTATTAAATACCATTTTCCTCAATCACTGCCTCTACCGCTCAGTCACACTCAATCTACAAGCACCAAACACAATGAATTATTGTGAAATGTTTGGAAGAGCAGGGAGACTAATGTTCACTCCAGCAAAACAAAGTCACACTGACGTTGTGTCAACCACTCCTCGTATTTTGTACAATTTCCTTCTTCAATTATATCATATTTATTATTATTATTATTATTATTATATTTGGGATTATTAGCTGTAGCAGAAATGTTTAATTCTTTGCAGTGTTCAAAAGTAAACACATGATGTCACCGTCTAATACCTGTCCGAATAGCCATTCCAATATGCAGTCATGAATGGGTTTACATTATTTATACTGTAGTTTAATAGCAAATAATGAACAAATAAAACACTCGCCACACTGAGTGGTGGGATGGCTGGCTGCCAGTTGCGGGGGTCGGAGGGAGGGTAGTAGGGACTCGCAGGTGGCGGGAAACTTAAATATGATTTGGCGGCTGGGAATTTGGTGGCTGGGAATTTGGCGGTTGGGAATTCGCGAATGTGTGAAGCCCATGAAAGTTGAAAATGTGAATGTTGAGGGAGACCTGTATTAAAATTTTATGGGGTAGACTAATAAGCCAACAGAAGAACTGTCTTATGAGCTAAAGCTTCACTGAGTGGATTTTCATATTACTAAGACCCAAGTCAGAAATTTAACCTTATAAATAAAATACCCCCCCCCCTCCCAAACTGTAGTGTGATTATACCTTTTTAAATGAACCAGTCAAAAAGTGTGGAAGTTTTTTTTTTTTTTTGGTGAATCTGCACAAGTTGCTTAGTTAAGGCTTCGTAAAAAAAAAAAAAAGCATCCAGCCAAGAACTTGACCCAGATCATGTTGGATTTGTGGTGCCACACTATATCACAGTACTGTACTAAAGTTATAAAAAATATGCAAAAAATACTCACAAAATATAAAATACTACAATCAATACAAACTGGCAAGTTGTGACAAAACATCTGTCTCCAAATTTTGGGCACAGATGCTTTTTAAAAGGAGCAATTGTCTTTTTCTCATTTAAAATTAGTTATTCTGCCTCTACAATTTATAAACATATAGCAAAGGATTATTCCACAATTAAATTTTCATTTTAAGCTTAGGATAAAATGTCTATGCAATAAGATCCTCTTAATATATCTATATGGTACTGAGCACATATCTAATAACCAGGTAAACTGTTTTGTAACCTGGTACAACTAACTGATGTCAGTTGAAGGATGGTACAAAGACTGCCTTCTAAACTACTATGCAGTCACAGTTGTAACACAAATTTTATAATTAATTTTTACACAATAAACCAAAACTATTACCAGTAATAGAAACAGTTATTATTTGTTAACATAGTGCAAAATATTTTTAAGGATGAAGTAAAACTGGAAAAAGTTCTGCAAATATATATGTGAGGTATCCCCTGCATAAACTCAGCAAGTGCCATCCCAGACAAAAGTGTGCTCTTGTTTCTGAAAACATATTCTCACTTTATTGTTTTGTTTGGTTTCTCCTTGTCTATCGGCACTGAGACTCAAAGTAAGATTGCCTTGAAAATGACATCCTTGACCTTAGTAGCTTGAGCATAGTTTGAATAGAAAATTCTATGAAATAGTCAACCCACGGAAAACAAGTCTCAGCTCTCTGTCAATAGGAGCACAGGATTTGCACACATCTATGCCAGCAGCCACTTACAATTCAGTTTTTTGAAAGTGGCATTTACTGAGTTTGTGAAGGGTGCACCTTATATATTTATCAGTAAAAATTATAAATTAATAATGAATACTGGGAAAATATTTTTTCAAAGTAAAAAATTAAATTATTATAGAAATACTACATTGTTTTAATATTATCTATTATATAAATAAGTGCATTCATATGCCAAACTAAGATTTTGTTGGCTAGCATATCACAGCTAATTATTAAATATACGAGGCACTGTGCAGCAACAAAGAATAAACGCCTCCACAGCCAAAATCCGAGTCAGTGGAAGAATTGATTCCTTGTGTCATCTGTTTGTGGGAATGAGTGGATATTATCATCATCTGCATCTGTAAGTTAGGCTCACAGCCTCATAATAAAATATGGTAACTTAATCTTTGTAGCTCCAATCTCCCCCATACCTGCATTTTTCTCCACTGTGTGAATTTAGCGCTTATTCTTTGTCTGCCATGCAACACCCCATATTTAACATGATACAAACATGCATAGCATTAATTTCTTACAGGCAATCTGAATTATAATACATTAATATTTTGGCACCATAAATATTTTGGACACCTATACTTTATTAGGAGGAGGTAGATAACTACTTTGTTACTTGTTCTAGCCTTATAATGAGCTGATGTACCTAGCCACCTCACAGAGTCACAGTATTAGAAGCAGGCCTATCTTCTAAATATTTTCAGAATACACATTCATATTTTCTATGGGTTTTATTCATAACCAGGCAAGACAAGATAGGTACTGTTGTTGCTACAATATAAGACAATGTTATAAAGCTCACAGCCATAATATAAATTAATGGCAAGATTTCAGAGGCTACTTTAAATTTCAGAATTACACCTTGGAGGAGCTCACTATTAATCCTACAGTAACTTTTATGCATATATCTCAGTTCTACTATGTATTTTTAAGATATATTAATAGAGAATGCTAAAATCATTTGTGAAACTGAATGCAACTACTAAATCATCATATCAAAGATATGATGATTTATTAGTAATTAAACAAGTTATAAATATTTCTTAAGGGCTTAAAAAATATATATTAATATTTGACATTCAATATCCAGCAAGAAATGTAGTACTGTAGACTCTCATATAATGCTATTCAGATGACCCATTTTCAGCGTAAGTTTATATTCCTCAACCACCAATTCACAATGTGCCACAGCAAACATGAATTACTGTGAAGTTCAAAATGAAGACAAAAAAATGAAAACTTAGAATTCCACACTGCTACGGAGCATATCATAATTCAGTCATGTCATTTGCATGAGAGCGATTGAGAGCGCAGCCAAAAAAAGCAAGGAGTGTGAGCAAGTTAATATTTTGTGAAGGGATTCAGGGACACCGGCAGTTAGCTGGACTTGAGTCCTGGAGGCGGAAAGTACAGTGCCTGCACTCCACAGGAGGGGTTTGGGATATCTGCTGTTTGGAGAGACATCTGAACTGCCGTATCTGTTCACTTCTGGCAAGACAGTGATATTGTGAACGATGGTGAAAGAGTTACTTTTTTGGGTTACCCTGTCTCGGTGGGAGACATGCATGTACACGCACACAAGCAAGCAACTAACAGGCCAAATGTCTTTTGACAAGTGCCTTTAACAATTTGGTAACTGGTAACTAACACACACACACACACACTATGTTAGGTGAAAGTCTACTGTGCACTGATACTTTTAGGGTATGTGTCACTATTCACCAAATTTAGCCAACATGACCTTTATATGCTGGGAAAACAAAACCAAATATCTATGAAGACAAAATGTTTAACATGCAGTACAGTAATATAAAGAAATACTATAGTTACCACTGAAAATTACAATCACTGCAATACTTTTAATAATTCTACAATCCCTCTATACTTAACAAGACCTGAAAAAGGCCTAATTCTAGACTTATTGTGCGTAATTTATCAATTAAACTTTATCACAGGTATGTATATAAACAAAAAACTACTTGTATATAGGGTTTGCTACTATCCAGTTTCGGGTATCTGCAGTTGGTCATGGAACTTATCCCTCATGAATATGGGGGGGGGGGGGGATACTGTGTTGATGTTAAATTTATAGCTGAAATTGTTACAAACAATAACATTTACTACGACTAATATTGTATCTGTACTACATCAGTTACTGGATAGCAAGGGTTGCCATTGCTTTTAGCTTACTAAAGTTTAAAAGAGAAACTAAACTGTAGAAACAATTTAATTTTAAGTGATTGAAATAAATCATGAAAAAATATACCATGTTGATTACTAAATACAATATGCCAGTTTGTCTTGTGCTGCACATTATTACAGCACTGTAGTACACCTTTCCCCCCACATATAATTTTTACCCAATTATAAAATTTAGTTCAATTATTTAAAAAACTAGCCTTAAGTTGATATACAATGTTCAAATTGTTGAAATACTTTTTCATTCCACTATATCTTTTTACCATATATTACTCAAGAGATGGCAGGCAAAGATACAAACAATATTTAGTGGAAATTGATTATTCAATCTTTTTCTTGCCAAGGAGAGAGTTGTGAATGTGTCGTGGTCTTGTACCATTTTTAATGCTCTCCTGGTAGGTTAGGAAGATCTTTGCATACTCTGGCTTTCTCTTGGCATATGCTTGAAAGTCCTCTGTTGGTGTAGAGACGAGTGCCACTTATTAACAAATCTTATAGGGGTGGATAAATTTGGAAACATAAAAGGAGATTTGCACTGAAATTATAACATGGTCTAGGAATGTATATGTACATAGCATGATGAGGGAAATGCAAGACAGAATGAGAGGCAGTGATTTAAAAAAAAAAGATGGACAATTAAAAAAAAAAAAAAAAAATGGGCAGTAGGTTCTTCTGAAATGCAATATAGCCCCTGGATTAACAGTTCTTGTAAGCATTAACAGAACCACTCTGAAATTAAACACTGATGATCTCCGGTATTCTACTCTAGTTAAATTGTTCAGGATGACAGCCTACAATAATGGAAAAAAAAAAAAAAAAAGATCAATAAACTGAATCCCTTAAATACTGACAGAAACAAGTACAGTGGACCCTCGACTAATGCTATTAATCCATTCCTGAGAGCTCATTGTTAGCCAAAATTATCGTTAGTCAAGTTAATTTTCCCCATAAGAAATAATGGAAATCAAATTAATCCGTGTAGGACACCCCAAAGTATGAAAAAAAATTGTTTTTACCACATGAAATATTAATTTTAATACACACAAACTGAAGAAGACATGCACAGTTACATGACACTTACCTTTATTGAAGATCAGGTGATGATTGATGGGATGGGAGGAGGGGAGAGTGTTGATGGTCTTAGTGTTTAGAAGGGGAATCCCCTTCCGTTAGGACTTGAGGTGGCAAGTCCTTTTCCGGGGTTACTTCCCTTCCCTTTAAATCTCTCAAACCAACCTTTGCTGGCCTTAAATTCACTCATATCACTAGCTGCTGGCATTTTCTTAATTAAATCGTCATGCAACTTCCTAGCCTTTTCACATATGATCGCTTGAGAGATGCTATCTCCTGCTATCTGTTTTTCGTTTATCCACACCAATAACAGTCTCTCAACATCTTCGAGTACTTGCGATCTCAGTTTCGAAAACATAGTTGCACCTTTGGCAAGAACAGCTTCCTTGATTGCCGTTTTCTTGCCCACAATAGTAGCGATGGTTGATTGGGGTTTCGTGTACAACCTGGCCAGCTCGGAGACACGCACTCCACTTTCATACTTAGCAATGATCTCTTTCTTCATATCCATAGTAATTCTCACCCTTTTTGCTGTAGGGTTGGCACTAGAAGCTTTCTTGGGGCCCATGGTGACTTATTTTGCAGGTGCAATCACTAAAAAGGCTGTGATAATATGAAATGTTTCGATTGTATGCTTGGAAGCGACCGTGGTGACTGGCTGGCTTGTAAACACTGGCCAGAAGTGGACGCATCTCAGACGGAACGAATAGTGTTGGTCGAGTTTTTTAGCGCAAGTCGAGGCAAAATTTTTGCGTTAAAATGTATCGCTAGTCGGATTTATCGTTAATTGATGCCATCGTTGGTCGATGGTTCACTGTATACAGAAAGTTTATGCCTCAATTTCTCGAGGAAGAAAATTATTGCACTCCACGAGACCTGATAGTCCAAAACTTAGACCAATATTTCAACTCGGAAAGATAATGAGAGGTAGAGAGAATTTCACATGCCTCTATGAGTTACCATGTAACAATTCATCCAATACTAATCCCAAAGTTGTCACTTTCTGGCAAAATTAAATTATCAAAATACATGAGAATGTACATAGGAGAAGGGGTACAAGATTCTCTCTCTCATTTGATACTATTCTACTAGGTACCTCAAGGAAGGGAGTGAGTAAACAAACAAATCAGCAAATGTATTACTTTGTTTCAGAGCAGAGGTAAGATCTTATATCTTTCAAAGTATACCGCCACATTCATGGAAGAAAATTCAGAATAATGCCCCAATGGAAGTGATAGGAATAAATTATACACGACCCATTATCTTAAAAAGGATGGCAGAGACCCATTAAGGTGTAGGTTTTCCTCACTTAATGTGGATTACTTTTGTGGGAATTCTCTTATAAATGGTCAGTAGAACAGGTGGGATTTTATTCTGGGGGGCAGGGGGAGGGGAGCTTAAGCCAGGATTTCAATCTGGGGAGGCTTAGAAATAATAAGATGCTGTAAAAGTTGAAGAAATCATCTTTAAAACATGATTTTGAGTATGTATATGAAATTTCTTAAACTATTGTGCTTTCGTGGCTACTGGTCAATATAATACAGTGAAAATTAGCCTTTAATTTAAAAAGAAAAAGTAATCCACTGTATGTTTTGTGAGGAAGATTGTATAAAATGCCGGGACACAGTATGACTAAATATGAAGTCTGATCTCAGAAAAGTGTTTATGGGACAATATTAACCCTTTGACTGTTTTCGACGTATAAATACGTCTTACGAGCCAATGTTTCTGACGTATATATACTCAATAATTCTAGCGGCTTCAAATCAAGCAGGAGAAAGCTGGTAGGCCCACATGTGAGAGAATGGGTCTGTGTGGTCAGTGTGCACCACATAAAAAAAATCCTGCAGCACACGTTGCATAATGAGAAAAAAAAAAAACTCTGATCGTTTTTTTGGAATAAAACGCTGACTTTGAGGTGTATTTTCGTATAGTATTTATCGTTGTATTCGCGTTTTCATGGTCTTAGGTGATAAAATGGAAAACATATTAACAGAAATAGAGATGATTTTCATTACTTTGACGATGAAAACGACCTTGAAACTGAGCTCAAAGTAGCGGAAATGTTCGATTTTTACCAATGTTCAAGAGTAAATAAATCACACCACACGTCCAATACACGTCAACTGGGGAGTCTAATATTCTTTCACTAGTGCACTGATATTATTTATACCATTTTTACAATAATGCAGTAGTCTGCATAACAGTAAATTTTGTATTGTTTTGTATGAATAAAAAATCAAAATAGAAAGCAATAATAATATAAGAGGGGCCTAGAGGTGTCACTAATGAACAGATCATATGTTATTTTAGTGCCACGAATGTCTACCTTGTTTATTCTGGACCCTATTTTGAAATTGGCATCTTTCTTAGTTTGCGTGAAATTGGCCAAATTGCCAATTTCTGACCACCATATTGGGTAGTCCAAATTAGTAAATGGGAGGTTTCTTGTACTCAGCTGATAGATAAAATGGAGTAGTTCTAAAGAAATAGCTATGAGTTTGGTCAACTGGAACAATGGAATTGGCTGAAAATAGGGCTCAAAGTCGGCGAAATCGCCGATACGCATATGTCGCCAAGACCGCTAACTTCGCGGGAGCATAATTCCATGAGTTTTCGACCAAATTTCGAACTTTTGGTGTCATTACCATCGGGAAAAGATTCTCTATCATTTCATAAGAAAAAATAATTTTTTTTTTCAAAAATTGAGCGACATAGAATGACAGTTTCAGAAAGGGGCCTGAAACAGTCAAAGGGTTAAGGATGGGACTCTTCAAAATTTTTGCCAATATATATATACCAACACCCAGTTTTAAGCTGATACCATGAAAAGTAGTTGGTATCCACCAATACCGATACTTTAGCACACCCCTAGAAAAGATGACTAGTGAACTGCCCATGAGCTGTATCAAAAGCTGAATTATCCCACTGAAATGTCTGGAAGCACCTAAGTGATTATTAATAATATATTTAACCCTTTTACTGTTTCGGTCATATATATACATCTTACAAGCCACTGTTTGGCGTATATATACTCATAAATTTCAGCGGCTTCAAATCAAGCAGAAATAAAGCTGGTAGGCCCACATGTCAGAGAATCGGTCTGTGTGGTCAGTGTGCACCATATAAAAAAAAAATCCTGCAGCACACAGTGCATAATGAGAAAAAAGAAACTCCGACCGTCTTTTTTAACCCTTAAACGGTCCAAACAGATCGACGTTCAAATTCGTAGTGCTACAAAAGTAGATCTACTTTTTTTACATATTTTCAAATATAACAAAAAAAAATGTAGATTAAAGTTTTTTTACACGTTTTCAAATGTAAAACAAAAAAGAAGATCTACATTTTTTTACATACTTTCAGATGTTGAAAAAACGTATATATACGTTTGAACCGTTTAAGGGTTAATTAAAATGCCGATTATGTGGTCTATTTTCGTATAGTATTTATGGTTGCATTCTCGTTTTCTTGGTCTCATTTGATAGAATGGAAAACATATTATAGAAATAGAGGTGATTTTGATTGGTTTTATTATGAAAAGAACCTTGAAATGGAGCTTAAAGTAGGGAAAATGTTTGATTTTTGCCGATGTTCAAAAGTAAACAAATGGTGTCGTTTTCCAATAAATGTCCAAGTAGCCATTCTAATATGCAGTCATGAATGGGTTGACATTATTTATACAATTATTACAATATTGCAGTAGTCTACATAACAGTAAATCTTTTATTTTTTGTTTGAATAAAAATTCAAAATAGAAAGCAAGAGTAATATCAGAGGGGCCTGGAGACGTGACTGATGAACACAGAAAATGTTATTTTAGAGCGTTGTTCATTCTGGACCCTATTTTGAAATTGTCATTTTTTTCAATTTTCGTGAAATTGGCCAAATTGCAAATTTCTGATCACGTTACTGGGTAGTTGAAATCGGTAAATGGGCAGTTTCTTGTACTCAATCGATAGAACAAATGGAGTACTAAAGAAAAATCTATGAGTTTGGTTGACTGGAACAATGAAATTAGCCGAAAATAGGGCTCAAAGTGGGCAAAATTGCCGATTTGTAAATATTGCCGAGGTCGCTAACTTCGTGAGAACGTAATTCTGTCAGTCTTCCATCAAATTTCGTTCTTTTGGTGTCAATACAATTGGAAAAAGATTCTCTATCATTTCATAAAAAAAATCATTTTTTTTTTTGGAAATTTTGCGACACCAGGAGACACCTTAGGATTTGGGGTTACGACAGTTAAGAGGTTAAAAAGACATGCTAAATTCATATGGGCAGTACAGAAAAAACTAAAGAGTTGTCAAAAAACTTTTTAAGTTTATTAGGAAATGAAGTGATACAGTATTAGAAATTACTCACTTCAGACAATACTGTATGTGAACT